TCCAGAGTCAGAACAAGTTATACGTTCTGTTTTTTTTTAAAACGGGGAATCTAGGAATCAAACCCAGGTGGTCTGCAAAGCCAGGGATACAGACAGAGTGGGTTCTCAGAGGCTCCACGGACTTTCCCCAAACTGAAGACAGGGGGTCCACATCTTCCCATGAGAAAGGCAGCTGAGTGTGGGTGATGGAAAAGTCTCCCGTGGTCAGACGGCCCTGCCTCACAATGTGTTTCATCACTAAAGTTGGTAAGTTTCTGTTACCACAGCATTGCCCCATTTTCTTCTCTATTGCTCCCAAGAAACAAGAAAAGAACAAGATTCTCTATTATGAACACATTAAACATTGTCCAGTGGAATTTCAAACCCAAGTCTCCAGAGCACCAGAAACAACAAAACCCTTATTCCCATTTTGTCAGCTTCTCACTGCGATCCCAGGGCTTGAAGACTCAGGTCTAACAGAAAAGTGGTTCCTGAGCTCTCAATACAATGAAAGCATGCTCCCGGAAAGCATGGAAGTAAGTAACTGGTGGGCATCTTTGGAGACAACAGGAAAAGCCAAAAGGTCAGGGGTGTGTTGCTCAGGCGGAGGCAAAACATCCCTGCTGGTCAAGCCACCTCGTGCCCCTGCCGAGTAGCATCCACCTCCACGTTTCCCCTCCTCCAGCAGCTTTCTGATCACCCCCATCTCTCCTGAGGCTGAACAAGGAAACCAGAAACACAACTGAAACACAGCAGGTTGGCCGAGGCTATCTCTGATTTCTAAAGTACATGTCCTATTCCACGCAAATGGAGACCAAAAGAAAGCAGGAGTCGCAATACTCATATCAGATAAAATAGACTTTCAAATAAAGGCTGTGAAAAGAGACAAAGATGGACACTACATAATGATAAAGGATCAATCCAAGAAGAAGATATAACAATTATAAATATATATGCACCCAACATAGGAGCACCGCAATATGTAAGGCAAACGCTAACGAGTATGAAAGAGGAAATTAATAGTAACACAATAATAGTAGGAGACTTTAATACCCCACTCACAACTATGGATAGATCAACTAAACAGAAAATGAACAAGGAAACACAAACTTTAACGG